TGGTAGATATAGGAAGTGCTGTAACAGGGTAAGCACCAGACTGCTAAACTACAAGGTCAGGGGTTCAAATCCAACAGTTGAACTCAGCAGAAGAAAGATGAACCTTTCTGTTCTTACAAAGACTTACAGCCATGGAACCCTTATACAGGATTGCTATGTGTCGGAACTGACTTGACAGCACTTAACAACAACATACTATTAATATATTGCATTAATAAGAGTTTCAAATGTTAAGCCATCATTGCATTCTTTCCTGGGATAAATCCTGTCTATGGTATATAGTACTTGTATATGTTGTTGGATTTGGTTTGCTAGTATTTTGTTAAGGACTTTTACATCCATATTCACAAGCAGTGGCACTGTAGGACAAGCACTGGATTATTAACCACAAGTTTGGTGGTTCAAACCCACCAGCCACTTCTCAGAAGTCCTGTACAAGGTCACTAAGAGTTGGAATGAACTTGATGGTACTTAACAATGACATTTTAAGAGACACTGGTTTGCAGGTTTCTGTTCTTGTGATGACTTTGTGTAGTTTTGTTATTGGGTTAACAATAGCTTCTAGAATGAGTTAGAAATGTTTTTCTAATTTTTTAAGGAGTTTGTGAAGAAGTGGTATTGATTCTTCTTTAAATGTTTGGTAGAATTTACCAGTGAAACTATCTGGGTCTGGGCTGCTTTATTTTGTAAGTAGTTTTTTTTTTTTTTTTTTCACTAGAAATTCAATCTCTTTACTTGTTATAGGTCTATTACAATTTCTATTTCTCCTTCAGTCAGTTTGTCTTTCTAAGAATCTGTGCATTTCACCTAAGTAATTTACTGGCACTTATGTTAGTTGATAGCTGTCATCATGCTGACTCATGGAGATCTTATGTACAATGGTACAAAATGCTGCTTGGTGCTGGATTATATGCCTACCAGCATGTATGACTCCACTGAACATTATATGATGGACTCACATCCATTTTTCATAACTTTCCTTTATAATCCTTTTTATTTCCACATGATTGGTAGTAAAATCCCTTATTTAATTTCTGATTCTAATAATCTGAATCCTATTTTATAATGGTTGGTACAGGTTTCTAAATTTTGATGATCTTTTCAAAGAAAATCTTTTCACTGATTATCTGTTGTTTTTATATTGTATGTCATTAATTTCTGTTTTATCTCTATAAAGTCTTGTCTTCTGCTTGCTTTAGATTCAGTTTGCTCTTTTAGTCTACTGTCTTAATGTGGAGGGTTAGGTTATTGATCTGACATATACATACAGCTATAAATTTGTCTCTAAGCATTGCTTTAGCTGCATTTCATTATTCTGTGTCTTCATCTTCATTCATCTGAAATTATATTTCTAATTTCCCTTTTGACCCATAGGTTATTTAAGACTGTGTTCATATTTTCCACATGGTGAGTTTCCCAGATTTCTTTCTGTTAGTGATTTCTAATTTTACTTCATTGTGGTCAAGAACATGCTTTTCATTAAATCTTTTAAATAACTGGTTTGTTTTATGGCCTAGAATATGGTCTATATCCTGGTGAGTGTTCTATGTGCACTTTAGAAACATGTTTATCTATTTTTGAGTGAAGTGTTCATTACTGGAAAAAAACTACTTACAACTATCAAAACTTATAATCCACATACTTAACTTGCGGCAAATATTGAAGTAAAGGATTTAAAAATATAAGAGAGTAAACAGTATTGAATATTGTTGTTAAGTACTGTAGATGGTTCCAACTCATAGCGACTCTGTATAGGGTTTCTGAGGAACACCTGGTGAGTTTGAACTGCTGACCCTGCAGTTCAAACAGACTTTGCAGTCTAGTGCTTATACTACAAGGCCACCCCAGGATTGAAGAAATGATAGATCAAGCAAGATAAGAAGTCCCAAGAAAATGGTGAAAAGAAGTTTCTGTAAGACGCCTGTGCAGAAATGTGTCCAAACTGGGTAGTGAAATGAAGGACTGGGAATGTGTTTCAGAAAAACAAATAAATCATGTCTTTAACCATATGAAAAATATTAGTCATGGGCATGTTGCAGAGATAATGAAAATATTGACGCACTTTAAAAACATAACAAAACTGTGCAAATGAAAGAACAAGCGCTAATTCCAGAATAAATGAAGTTTCTATAAGGAAGCTTGTTAGATGCCATCGAGTCAGTATTGACTCATAGTGACCTTATGCACAACAGACTGAAACACTGCCCAGTCCTGCACCAACCTCACAATTGTTGCTACATTTGAGCCTATCGCTGTTGCAACTGTTGGGATCCATCTCGTTGGGGCTTTTTCTTTTGTCTGACCTTCCATTTTACCAAACATGAGAGATGAAGTCTGGCCTTCCTGGCCTTCCAGGGAGCATTCTAGCTGTACTTCTTTCAACACAGATTGGTTTCTTCTTTTGGCAGTCCATGGTAGTTTTAATATTCTCCTGTAACACCACAGCTTAAATGCATCAATTCTTCTATGGTTTTCCTTACTGACTGTCCAACTTTCACATGCATATGAGGTTACTGAAAATAACATGGCTTGGGTCAGGCACATATTAGTCTTCAAACTGACATCTTTGCTCTTCAACACTTTAACGATGTCTTGTACAGCAGATATGCCTGATGTTTGTTTGACTTCTTGATTGCTGTTTCCATGAGTGTTAACAGTTGATCTGAACAAAACGAAGTCTTTGACAATTTCAGTCTTTCCTCCATTTATCATGATGTTACTTATTGGTCCAGTGGTGAAGA